AAAAACAATATATTACATCAAAGGAAGAGGCTGGATTTTTTTAAAGAGTGACTAGAGGTGCAGCTTAGGAGTAGAGTACTTGCCTAGCATGTGAGAGGCTCTGGGTTCCAGTCTCAGCACTGCAGAAAAAATTTTATTTTTTAATTATCTGAAGACAAGGTTTGGAGATGAAGGCTTTGAAAGTTAGCAGAGCCACAATCATCAACTTGGAGTTTGTCTCCAGTTAGGCTACAAGAGGAGCAGGGCAGCAACCCCACTGCATTCTGAGATATCTGCAGCTGGCTTTAGACAGCCATGCCTAGCAGTTCCCAAGGGAAAAAAAGGGGGGGCAGCTTGTGGATCAGGTGATTTCCATTCTAGTTCTTCCCTGAGTTGGGGTCTGTGAAATCAGCAGCCCTCTGAGTCTTTCTGTAGTTCACTGGGTCTAGGACTTCATCTGGCTAAATAACATCTTCTGGCATAAGTTAATATTTTTGGAAAAGAAAGTACCTGAACCATAGGCCATTTGACTGTACTATGCCTATCAAGAGTATGCTACCTGTGGCTTGTGGGTAGCGTGCACTACAAGAGAGCTATGAATACAGCCCAACACAAAATCATAAAGTTACCTAAAACATTGAGGGGTTTTTTTGTAACTCAATTTCCCAATTCTTCAGCATGAACTTCGTCTATGACAACATTGTGTCGCAATGTCAAAAGGTTGGACATGTCTGTGAGTCTAAAGAATGCAGGTTTGTTGTGGATTTTTTCTCCTCATTCTTGATCTACTGAGAACAACAGAACCAAGAGAAAGAGAAGGCTGAGCTACGTACACATGTTCCCATCCTACAAGTAGCCATGCCACAGTCACCAAGAGAATCTCCTAGTTTGGAATTATTTCAGCTTGGCAGTACTTACTGTAAAGAGCTTGGGAGCTTTTATCTAGCCCCTAAAAGATTATAGGGTTATCTCTTCAGAGGGGGGAATGTTAGAGTAGCAAAAATCCCCATAAAAAAGAGAAAGAGTACACAAAGTTGTCAGGAAAAAGTGATGGGGAGATATGGGAGGAGTTGGAGGGGAGGGAGTGGACGTGGATTTGAACAAAACACCTTATACGCATGTATGAAATTCTCAATAATTTTTTGTTAAAAAAAAGAGCTTACAGAACTCAACTGGTCCATATGTTAATTTTTTTCAATGAGAAGTTTAAAGAAGGGTTACCAGGACCTCTACCTACCAAATGGTAATCACAGATCAGAATGAAGAGTTTTGGGAGGGCCTTAAGGATGATCTAGCACAACTTGTGCCCAAACAAAAAAGGGCTAACTGAAGGTCAACTAGTTACTGAGAAGATCAAGGCTTAATGCAGGTACCATGGTCTTGCATCCATGCCCAACACATGACAATCTTGAGTGAAATGAGAAAGTCAATAACTTATTTGCTATTGTTCTGTAGGGAAGCATATTTAGTGTTCTGTATAATAAAACTGCTCCTCTGAAGGTATGTTTTGAGTTTTCCTTCCCCTAATATAATTTTGTAGCAAATTTTTTCATTAAAAATATGATAGCATACCTGGGAGTGGTGGCTCACGCCTTTAATCCCAGCACTTGGGAGGCAGAGGCAGGCAGATCTTTGTGAGTTCGAGGCCAGCCTGGTCTACATAGTGAGTTCCAGGCTGGGGCTACAGGGAGACCCTGTCTCAAAAAGACAAAAAAATATGATAGCAAATAGAACTGAGACACATATTACACACTTTCCTTCACCATTTATTATACTTTGTGAAGGTGACCGCTCTTAGCTTTTCACTGTTTTTGTTGTTGTTGTTGTTGTTTGGTTTTTTGAAACTGGGTCTCTCTGTAGCCCCAGCTGGCCTGGAACTCAGCATGTAGACCAGGCTGGTGTAGTAAACCTAAAATCTTTTAAGGATTAGATACAAGGTCTCAAATACTTTTGACATTTTGACATTTTTGGCCTTTGGAACAGAGTGTGTTGCTAACAGGCCCAAGGACATTTTGACTTTTAGCCTAGAAACTGGCTACATTTCTTTGGGGTTTTTTACCCTAACTGCCTAGCCAATTCCTACCTCCTATCCTTATCACGCCATCCTCTGAAGGGGTTACCCAAATTGCCAATAGGGAATAGGGACGCAGACCGCTCTGGCTTTATACTTCCTGAGTGAACTGAACAACGTGAGATGAGAATGGTTTTCAGTCTAGTTTAGCAAATAAACTCAAACTGACAATTACAGCGATGGCCCCAAGGTGAAGACTTTGCGGAGAGAGGACATTTAATCCTGACTGGGAAGAGCAAGAAAGGCATCCAAGAAATATTAAAGGTAAAACCTATGGTGAGCTGAGCCTCTAGGGCAGAGAGCAGTTAGGTAGGTGGGGATGGGGGCATTCTAGACAAAGGTAGTTACCAGTCAAAGGGCCCAGAAGCCATGTTGATAAAAAAAAAAAAAGTAGGCAGGAAAGTTTAAGTGGTCTACTTTGGTTGGTGGCCAGATTGCCATAGTGGTGACAAGGGGGTGACATGCTCCCTGAATGAACAATTTCAACTGTGTCTCCCAAGTAAACACAACCTAGTGAAAGCTTGCCAGGCTAGAATAACTTCATAATAGAAATTCCCCAGTCCCATCCCACCATCAATATCTGAACAAAAAGGTCATATACAATATAACTAAGAGAGGTACAGTGAAGCAAGCAGGAGAACTTACCAATAAGTAACTGTCAGCCTCCTGATGAGTCAGCTGTCCCACTGGTGAAATGAATAATTGACCCTGCCATGGATGATCTTCATGGCCTTTCCTGGATTCTGTAATTTGTGAGGACCCCGCCATACATGTTACTAGAAGATGAAAGACAGATGTTTATAGACCTCCAGGGTGTTCAGCAATCAGTGTTTCACTACCATACCTCCTCCATAGTTTCATGAGGCTGAGTGATGTAACTATATCTAATTATAATGTTTTCAAACTATTAGTTGATTTATAATTTCTTTTTGTCTTTTTGAAACATGGTTTCCCTGTAGCTCCAGCTGCCCTGGAACTCACTAAGTAGACCAGGCTGGCCTTGAATTCACAGAGATCTGCTTGCCTCTGCCTCCCAAGTGCTGGCACTACAGGCATGTGCCACCACACCCGCCATGATTCCTAATTTTTTTATTAGAAAGCAGTGATCTAATGGATAAAATACTCAGAAGTTTGGAAATCAGTCTTCTCTCAGGCTTCTATAAAGAGGGAAATTAGGAAATTGAGTATTAAGTAGTTTTTATTCGAACCTTATCTGTACTCATAGGAAGACAATGTACAAAATATACAAAATGATGGGAAAGATATGATCTACAAATAGAGGAATTCTCTTTAGGCCCACTCAGAAAGTTCACATACAATGATCAGTTTAAAATTAGCTGAATAAGGGGGCTGGAGAGATGGCTCAGCAGTTAAAAACACTGGTTATTCTTACAGAACACCCAGGTTTGAATCCCAGCACCCACATGGCAGCTAACAACTGTCCATAACTCCAGTCCCAGGGGATCCAACAGCCTCTTCTGACCTCCGAGGGCATTGCACGACACGGGTTCACTTACCTGCATGCAGGTAATACACATAAAAAATTTTAAAAAAATAAATCAATTGACTGTTATATGTGTGGGTCCATTTCTGGGCTGTCTGCCTGTCCCACTGGTCTGTCTGTCTGTCTGTCTCTGTTACAAGACTATGCTGTCTTGATTACCATAG